ACTCAAAAGTTTGCCGAAGAACTTTGAAGAATGGGAGGCGCTTGTCCTTTGTGCGGGAAATGAAGCGGTTGAGGGTGGCAACTCGGCCAGTAAGCCTCTGAACCTCCTTAACCGTTTTGGGTGACTGCATTTCAATTAAGGCCTTGATCTTTTCGGGGTTAGCTTCGATGCCCCGCTGACTGACCATGAAACCCAAGAACTTCCCAGATCCTACGCCGAAGGCGCATTTCTCCGGATTAAGCTTCATTTGACATTTTCGTAGGGTGCCGAAGGTCTCTCGGAGGTCAGCCAGATGATCAGTGGAGAGCCTGCTCTTGACTAGCATGTCGTCGACATATACTTCCATGTTCCGGCCTATCTGATGATGAAAGACGGCGTTGACCAACCGTTGGTAAGTGGCCCCAGCATTTTTCAAACCAAACGGCATGACACAATAATGGTAGGTCCCTCGGTCGGTGATGAAGGAGGTATGCTCCCGGTCAGACGGGTGCATCAGAATTTGGTTGTATCTAGAGAAGGCGTCCATGAAGCTGAGCATTTGATGGCCGGCCGTGGCGTCAACGAGCAGGTCTATGCGAGGAAGGGGATAACTGTCTTTGGGGCAGGCTCAGTTAAGGTCTGAATAGTCGACATAGAGTCGCCATTTACCGTTGTTTTTATAAACCAATACCACATTTGACAGCCATCTGGGGTAGTCCACATTTTTGATAAACTGTGCCTCAAGGAGCTTATCTACTTCGAAGGCGATAAGAGTGTTGCGCTCTGAGTGAAAGATACGCTGCTTCTGGCGAAAGGGTCTGAAATGGGGCTCAATGCTGAGACGATAAGTTATGAAGGAGGGGTCAATACCCGGCATGTCGGAGTGGGTCCAAGCAAATACGTCGTTGTGCTCGATCAGGAGGGCAGTGAGGTCAGTCTTTGCTTGAGAGGATAGTTGCCTGCTGATTTTGGCAGTTTTTGCCTGGTTGGTAGGGTCGATAGGGACCTCAACGAGCTCTTCCACTGATTTTCCTCTGACCAACTTGTCATCGTCTCTAACGTCGAGCCCTTCAATGATCATAGCCTCCTTTAGCTTGACTTCTTTAAGTGAGGCGACATAACATTCCCTGGCCACGGTCTGCTCTCCTTTTATTGTGCCGACTCCCAGGTCGATGGGGAACTTGACGGCAAGATGGAAAGTGGATGTGATAGCTTGGAAAGCATTTAAGGCGGTGCGGCCAAGGATGATGTTGTAGGCAGAGGGGTAGTCGACGACGAGGAAGGTGAGTAACTTTGTAGTCTGCCGTGGGTATTCCTCGATTGTGATGGGCAGGTCGATGGAGCCGATGGAGGTCACTCGATCTCCGGTGAAACTAACTAATGGGGTTTGGAGAAGAGACAGACTTTTTTCCCTGATATTGATTTGGCGGAAGCAATTTAGGAAGATGATGTCTGAAAAACTGCCGTTGTCGACGAGAACCCGTCTGACCTTATAATTGGAGAGGACGGTAGAGATGACGAGAGGGTCGTCATGGAGGTAACAGATACCTGTGCAGTCGGCGTCCGTAAAGGTGATAGGCTCTATCCACTGCTTGGGCTGTTTGGAGGGTCAATCCAATATGGAAACTTCTTTGTCTGAGCCCTGCCTGATTTTTCTGAGTTCTGCCCGCTGAGCCGAGTGAGATGGTCTTCCACAAGTAAGCTCGCCGGAAATAACTCTGATTTCTCCAACAGGTGGGGCGGGGTTACCTTGTGTCCGAGGTTGCTGTGGAGGGCGATCACAACCTTGGTTAGGTTGTATTGGTTACTGGGGAGGGGGACGCCGACGGTTGTTTCTGATGGGTTCAGTCCTTTGTCTCTGCTGAGGGTGAGTTTCCGTGAATCGACTGAGACGTCCCTAATGTATCAAGCCCTTAACATGATCTTTGAGGTTAACACACTCCTTGGTATTATGGCTGTGGTCTTGGTGAAAACGGCAGTATTTAGACTGGTCTCGTCAATTGGAAGGAGACCGTGATGGTTGGGGTCATTTCAGGGGGTAGTCTCGCTGGATCTGATTGAGGACTTGTTCCATGGGGGAATTGAGGGGTGTGTACCGTTCGAACCGACCGGGCGGTCGGGTTGGCGCCGACCGGTCGGCTCGGGGGGGTCGGTTGGTATACTGAGGTGTTTGGTTATTGTACTAGGTGTTTCTGGTTTCTGAGTCCTTTCTCTTCTCTCTAGGGGTCGGTTTTTTGGCAGTAAGATCTTGGCGAGCGGCTAGGGAATCTTTAGCGTTCATGTATTTTTGGCCTTTAGAAAGTAGGGTTGCCATGGAGGTCGGGGGGTTTTTGGAGAGGAAGAAAAGGAAATCAGATGATCGTAGGCCGGCCATGAACGCCGTGAGGATGACCTTGTCATCATTTTCCGCCATCTATAGGGCTTCGGTGTTGAAGTAGGTGACAAAGCTGCACAATGACTCCCCCTCAATCTGACGGATGTTGAGGAGCTGGGTTGCCAGACGCCGTTGGCGCTGGGCTCCAATGAAATGGCTGAGAAAGGAGTCACTGAGGTGCTGGAAAGTGGAAACAAAGTCTGTTGACAGTTGACTAAACCAGAGTCGAGCCGACCCCTTGAGTGTTACAGGGAAAGCCCGACACATGATTTCATCGGGGAATGCATGGAGGATCATGAGGGTTCTGTAGGTCTCCAAGTGATCGACCAGGTCTGATGTACCGTCGAAAGAGTCAATTGTGGGCATCTTAAACTTGGGGGGTAAAGGTTTGTCCTTGATGGAGGCAACGAATGGGGAGTTAGCTGTGGTAGATGGTTTATGCTGTATGTTCTGCATGACTCCTTGGAGCTGGAGCTTCATGGCTCGGAGTTCTGCATCCCAAAGAGGAATGTTGTCACCACCGGAAGGCAACGGGGGCTAGACGCTACTGGCCTCTCCTTCAAGGGTTGGTGCCGGGACCGATGGATGCGGGGCCTGGGGTGACGGATTTGTATCTGGGGGAGGGGGTCGCAAGCCTTCCAAGCTGGGTGGATAGGGCTGCTGGATAGTATGGCTCAGGACTCGTTCTTGGTTGGGTGGAATATCTGGAGGTGGCGGAGGAGGCATGGGAAGGTTTCTTTGGAGTAGAGTATTAATCAAAGCTTGGTTTTGCTCAGCGAGGCGGTTAATGCTGTTGGTGATCTTGGTAAAGTACTGTGGCGGGTTATTTGGATTGGGAGGGTCGGCTTGGTGGTCGGGAACATTGAGGTGGGAAGCCATGGATCTAGTTATGACCATCCACCTTCGCAGGTGGTAGGAAGGGGTTATTGGGAAAGGGTCTCCGGCGATAATGAGTACAACTGCCGCATGGAGCAAAAGGTTCCTACAGACGGCACCAACTGATGATACATCGTGTTCCAGATGGAACAGGTCGGACTAATTCACGCTTTAACAACCCGCGTCCGAATGACCAAGCCCATCAGAAGACCTGAACAAGAGTCTAACGGGGAACGGGGAGTCCCCCAGTGAACCCTCCGACGAGCAAGTTAGAAAGAAAAGTAGAATGTAGAGATAGATTAGAGATAGAAAGCTTAACCTTCTTCTTGTCTTCGACGTCTGCTTATATCATTTGGTAATTATTTTGTTGCCCCTTCCGACCTGCCATCTTGGCCGAAAGTTTATGCTCTAGCTTGCCTTGTTCATGGTGAGGCCGTTCTGTCTCGACGGGGAGGGCTTATCCCAATAAATGCTGCAAGGGGCTTCATTAATGGCTGATGTGCAGTGTAATAACTTTGCAGGATCTTTGTCTGCTTATGTGGCTTGTCCTTCACCTGCCACGTATCTAAGTGTCATTGGTTCTTAATGCCATGTTGAGTTCCAGCTATGTTGGGCCTCATTAGTTAAATTATGTATTGGGGCTTAAGTGATGGGCTTGGGTTGTTTATAGTGGGTTGTAACCTTTATGAGCTTACCCATGTCAATTTTTTTTCCACTTTAACCTTTTATTTTTTTTTTATTTTTTTTTTCAATTTACTCCTAAAACTAATTTTTGTTTAAAATTAGATAGAAAATGTCATAACAACTGTCACGTAATATTAAAATTATATTATTATATTGGAGTTTAAATTTATATTAGAAGTGTGAGTTATATATAATAAAATATTTTTATATTACCTGACAACCAATGTATTATTTTTTGTCTCATTTTTAACAGAAATTAACTTTAGGATTAAATTGGAAAAAACTTGAAACCTGAAGGGTCAAAGTGGAAAAAAAAAACTTTAACACTCTATTTGGATTGTGAGGTGAGGTGAGAAAATAAATGATTGTGGTTTCTTACATAGGTGAGGAAAAAAAAAGAAATGATTATGATTTATCACAATTATGTTTAGATGAATAAAAGATAAGAGAATGTGGTTTATCATATTTTGTTTGGAAAGAATAAATAAGAAAAAAGAAAGAAAAGTGTTGTATTTTATTTTACCCAAATAATCTTTCATATTAATAAGTTATGTTTTTTCATAAGGACAATTTTGATATTTTAGAAAATTTAAATTAAACCCAATTCATTTCTTACCCAATCTGACCACTTTCGGTGAGAAACAAAACACATGTTAGTAAGAATTTTTTGTTTATCATCTTTCATTATTTATCACCTACTTAACTATCAAAGCATGCGAAAAGGGTTTTTTATTTTCATAATTTTTTTCCCACCAAACGGCTCCATTCAAATTGAGTATAAAAGTTAAGAATAATGATTGAGATCGCTACTCCCACAAGAACCCCACAATTCTAAATTATTCATGATATGAATCTCATATATGCATGAGAGAGCTTTATACATACATGAAATGTTAGGATTGCTTTGAAAGTGTGGACGTCACCCCCCAAAAAAAAATCTCAAATATTTCTCAAAAGTTAAAACGAAAAAGTCACCAAACGTAATTTATCCAAATTTTAAACCAAAGTTGAACCAATATGTATCGAGGGGTTGACTAAAATTATTGTCCTAATTGCTAGGTTAGGTTTGGAACCAACCATCATGGTCTTTGACGACTTCAATGCCTAGGGTGTGGTGTGGGTTGGGATCAAATTAAAAAGAATTCCAAGGGTTTAAGAACGAAAAAGTGATGGTGAAGAAGTTTCTGCTGCTGCTCTAGTCATATCTCCATCCACCCCTCCAACCTGCGATGGTTTCCTTATCGACTTGGTTCCGATACATAGCCCACAAACTCGAGTACTCTGTCTCTCTCAGCTGGAAGGTCACTCCTCTTCTCCTCCTTCTCTCTTTCCCGTTATCTCTCAATTTTTGTGATTTTATTATTGCATTCTCTACGTTACTGTCAAGATTGTTCTTTCTTCCGAGATTGTCAATTTTTGTGTTTTCTTACAAATCTCTCCTGCGAAATCACAGTCAAGGTTTTGCCGATTGGGTTCTATAAGGGATTGCTAGGTTTTGTAAGATTACTAGACATAATGGAACAAGAGAACTCTATTATATTTTATTCCATTAAAATTTTGTGTTTATTTCACAAATTGTTATTTTGATGTGCAACTTCTGTACATTGACATGTCAATGTGTACTTGGCAGTACTTCTATTAATCAACAATGGAATACACTATGAGAATGCTGTTGTTAATGCATTTTTTTTTTCTACTTCCAATAAAAAGAAAAAGAAAAAAAAGGAAAATTTATTGAGTCACTGTAAATAGGTTGTGTGACATTTTAACTAAGTGGTTTTGGCAATGATGCCATGATCCAAACCATATAATGTGCACAATGTGATTGTTGAACTATGGTACCATTTATTGGAAACACAATAGGGATTATACTCCATGAGGAATGATAGGGACCCACGATTTAAATCCTCAAATTCACCCACAATGATATGACAAAAGTGTTGAGCCTTACATGGATGTGTTTGTGACAAATCAAAAGTTGGCACATAAGTTGCCAACTCATTGTGGGCAAAATTAGCGGAGAATTATAGGGGTTTCTATCTTTCTCCTATGCTCCATGCTTTTGAAAGCGTGGTGTCACTATCTTCATTAGTGTGAATAACACCACCACTGCCACAACCACTGGAGGTATCACAAAGTCACCACCTCTATTGCCCTCTGCACCATGATCACAGTCAGTACAACCAACATTATTATGATCACTGCCCTACAATAAAACCACCTACTTTGATTCTATGGTTTGGTTGAATTGCTATTAAAATCATTGCTTTTTATTACCTCATACATTTGAATTGCCAGCTCCACAATGCTGCTTTCTCCACCACTGCTCCATATGGACAGTTGATAAGTAATAAATATAATTTGAGTATTGATTTAGAAAATGAGGGGAGAGGGAAAGGTAAATTAGTTTCCACAATTCAAAAACTGTCTCATTGTAGCTTAGTTTATGGCTGCCTCGACATTGCATCACCAGAGAATGCCAGACTGTAATTCTACAAGGTCTACTTGTATCATAGGAAAAATTTATGTTGAACGATCTATGTTGATGAGATGAACATCGTTTCTAAGTGGAACATATTTACTGTTGTTACCATCTTGGGCTGCATAGAGGTGCAGACATGAAATTATTCTGGACTCAACTTAATTCTCTTAAAATGAACTCAAGTTGCTTGAATTTTGGGGGATATAATTTGAGGAATCTTCCTTCTGTCTGGGCTCAGAAAATGATGATTATGTAGTTCATTTATTCATGTTTTTATCATATATTTTCTTCTGCTTTAAATTTGCAAATATTTTGTTTCTTTTCTTTTATGTACAATTATGGTTAAGGACAAAGGCTTGTTGAGTTGAGTTGAGGTTAAATGTTAGAACTATTTTTATAGGAGATTATACTGAAAAAATCTTCAATATGATGCAGAACTATAAACGAGGTCAAGTCACTGACAGAGAAGTAGTTGATGCCATATGGAAAAATTTATTTCAGGGAAAGTTGACATACTTGCATTGGAACAAAGGAGAGGAGATGGCCCCAACAATAGTAGGGCAGGGGGGAACTCTTCTTGTGCGGAAATTACCATCAACTGATCCAACGTAATATTACTATTAACTGACTGGAAAAACCTGATAAACATTTTTTTGTGTTTTTCTTTTTAGAAACATATGCATTCTTGTTTATATGTAATGACGTTGTCCTTTGAACATTTGATTCTTAAGATAAACTTGATGGCCTTTCTATATTGTCATATAATTCATCTCCAATATTGAAAATAAGTAAAAAAATTGAAGCATGGGATTATATATAATTCAAATGAGTTGTTTCAATTGATTGTGTGCTCAATTCTGTGACTTGGGGACGTGTGGTATTGTAGATTATATATTTCACTTGCATATAATATTTGGAACCCAAGTTCGCCTATAGCTTTGTGCTGGAAATTTGTGTTAATAATAAGATAGTGGCATGTATATAATATGATAGTGGTGTTGGTGGTAGATAGTGGCATGTATAGAATATGTGATAGTGGTGTTGGTGGTAGATAGTGGCATGTATATAATATGTTAGTGGTAAATAGTGGTAATATATAATATGTAAGTGGCATATAATGGGTTATAATGATGTTTGTAATATCTCCTATATAAGGAGTGTCATTTGGTCTTGTAAAATAAGAAGTTTTGAATATAACAGAAATATATTCCTTCTTCATATTTCTCGGAGTTCTTCTTCCTCATATTTTCTAAGTCTTTGTTTAATTAACTCAATCATTTAGCAGGACACCTCATAAGCATACCGTAGTTTTTTGTGCTTGAATTTTTTTTTCTGGGTTAAAGAAATTGATCTAGTTAAGTAGATAACCATCAGTTCTTCTATTATACCGAAACTATCTGGGGTTGGCGTAACAAAACCTGTTTCTCTGTTCTATATCTTTTGGAGGTTCATTTCTGGCATCTAAACTGTACATCCGCACATACCAATGTAATTTCTAGGTATTTCAGTTTTCTTCATTGCTGATGAACCGTGATTGTGGGTATGTTTTTGTGTGACACAGTTTTCTGATAATCTGCTGATATAATTGCAACAATTTACATGACTTACCACAAATACTTTTGGGATTTAATATTCATTGATTGCCATCTGATGAGATTCATCTTTTGCTCATGCGTAATGTAGGGAAGAAAGTCACTGGTCCCATAATTTTACTGAAGCAACTGCTGAAACAATTTAAATTTGCCACTGTGTTATTTATTTATTTATTTTACCATGGTTGAGAAATCTACTAGAATTATCAACTTTTGCCCCATTAGCTTGTATAGGTGTAATTATTATTCACTTGCTTTGCTCAAGTTCCTGGGTTAGCGGCACAAATCCTTATCACCTATCCAGTTTATTAGACGTAAACATGTGGTTATGCACATTCATAGGTGAAATGTCTATTGTTGCTTTCTGAATCATGTAAACATTCTTTATCTTTTTAAAGTTATAATAATTCACTTGCTCTGCAGATGTGACCAATTTTTTTTACTGTAAAAAGGCTCTAGTGATAAACTTTATAGTCTCGTGTATACATTCATATATATATATATGTATATCATTTTTTTTCCTTAGTGGGCTCGTTAATCAAGCTTCAATTCAATCATCATAAAGGCTATTGTTGCTTTCTGAATCATGTAACATGCTTTATCTTTTTAAAGATATAATAATTCACTTGCTCTGCAGATGTGACCAATTTTTTTTACTGTAAAAAGGCTCTAGTGATAAACTTTATAGTCTCGTGTATACATTCATATATATATATATGTATATCATTTTTTTTCCTTAGTGGGCTCGTTAATCAAGCTTCAATTCAATCATCATAAAGGCACTAAGTAGTGATGTTAAGTGATATCAAATTGAATGGATTGAATTAGGTGTTTCAAGTTTTTGTTTGGGCATTTCATTTTTATTAGGGATTATTAAAATTTACACTTAAGTGAATGGCCATTTAATTACACTTAAGTCAATTAAAAGCTTAAAATTAGTTTAAGGTCATCCTATTATGAATATTTTTTTGTTTTGGTATGTGAGAATTTCATTAAAAGAAACAAAGAATACAAAAATTAAGGGAGGCATACCTTTCAAATACCAAAATCAAGAAAAACATGAGGCAGCTAGACTAATGAGGAGCAAAAATTCTCTTAGAAATCTACCAGTTCTTACACAATAGCAGATTAGAGTAAGATTGCTTAATAGATGCAATCTGAGAACATTTAACTCTAATATCAGAATTAATCTGATTCATCAAATATGTAGGCCTATGACATCCTTTGAAAGCCCATGATTTCTCTCTTGCCAGATATAGTATACCGTTGCAGCCTAAGCAATTTTCCTCACAATATGGAAAAAAAAATTTCCCACTAAATTGGTTAACAATCCATGATATCTCATTATCCCTAGAATGTTGAGCCTTAGAAAAGCAACAAAGATAACTGATCTGCTCCCAAATTGCTCTAGAGAAGGAACAATTAAAGAAATATGAGAAAGAGGCTCATCGTCTTTGTGGACAAACGAGACAAGTAGTGAATCAACCTCCCCCCAATCTTTGAGCCTGCCTTAGTCCTAAGTCTTCCTCTAATAGCCATCCAAAAACAAAGCTGTGTCTGGGAATGTACTTAGGGAACCTAATAATCTTATGCCAAATCACAGAAAGGGAATGAGGCTTGATAGCATCCCAAGTGTTGTAGCTTTGTATTTAAGAGAGGGGGAAATAATGCACTGAACCTCATCATCTCTAGAACAATTGGGCTGAAAGGAGGGCATTAGAGAGGGAGGGAAAAGCCAGGTCCAATGATATCCTTAACAAAATGTCTAGCAATAGATCTAAGATTAAGAACCTTTCTCCGAGTCCAGGAGCAGTCAGAAAGGACTGTAAAAGCCCAAAAGCATTTGCCTTTAATAAGATATATATAGCACCATTGAATTTATGGGTGTAAGAAAAACCAGTGAAACTAGACTGACCGCTCAAGATCAATTGAAATTTTGGTTTGTGGTCTATTTTTCGTGACATGCAATCTGTTGTGGTTTTAAAATTTTATACACTCATACAAACTGAAACGACGGAAATATTATATGTGAAAATTTTGAGCATTAGAAGATAAGTGGCTAACATTACACAATTTCTAATAAAAATTAGGGAGGAAGACATTTATAGAACAACTTTCACTATTTTACTTCATTTATTCTCAATGTGTGATTGTACAAGTTTTTATAAAACCCTTTTAAAATGTCATGTTCCCTTCTCTACACCAAACCAAGAAAACTGAACCGTAGAATGCGGTCTGTTTTGGTTCCTCAACCAACAAAACCGAATGGTTTGGTTTGGTGCTAAACTTTCCCTTGAACCAAACCGCTTACACCCCTAATTGAACTCACAGTTGAATGATGCTTAGAGTAAATGACGCAAATATGCCTGAGGAAATAAGCATGGTTCCAATCTAGAAGCTTTCTAATGCCAAGACCTCCTTCTGTTTTAGGCAAGCAAAGAGTCCCTCAAGCGAATTTATTAGAATGAAGGTAAGAGTTGGTCCCTGTCTGCAAAAATCCTGAGCAACTGCTCTATATGCAAGCATACTGACTTGAGGAGGACAAAGTGCATAGACCAAAAAACTTGATGAAGAGAATAGACTGGATAATGTGAAGTCTACCAGTGTAGGAAAGAAACTAATTTTGTCAATGAGGCCTTTACAATTATCAGCTGAGAGCTAACTAAAAATAAGGGGTATAATACATCAATTATTTTTACATGGTATCAGAGCAAGGTTAACAACCTAGTCATTCTACTTCACCGGCGGGCGGCAGTCTCGCCTTGGCCGCCCGCCGGACCTCTACACCTACCTTCACTCAGCAGCCGCAGAAGCCCCACATCTGCCACCGTAAAACACCCTCAAACAACTCTGATTGCTTCTCCATTTTTTCCTCCAATTCTTCACTCATGATTCCAGAGTTACAGAAACCTCGAGTCACCGAGATACAAGTCCGGATGGACTGCAACGGGTGTGTGCAGAAGATCAAAAAGGCTCTACATGGCATTAATGGTATTTATGATCTTTACATCGACTTCCCTCAACAAAAGTTGACAATCATCGGGTGGGCAGATCCTGAAAAATAATCAAAGCCATTAAGAAGACAAGAAAAATAGCCATTATTTGTTCCCATTCAGAACAACCCGACCCACCTGTCTGCAGTCGGAGTCCGGATCGTTCTCGGAGAAGAAGTTGGAAACGAGAGTCATCGGACCAGGGCTCGCACCTGGACCAGCAGTGAAGAGATTTTCCATGGAACTACGAGGAGGTAGCATGATCGTAGGGCGGAGAGGAGCTGATGAAGCTCTTGGCAAAGATCCTTCGTTTTCAGCCATTGATGTTGATGACTTTCAAGCTTAGTCTAATCTCCAATTGAAGTTGTTCATCGTTAGGGCTTTCGTAGAGTCGCAGACGAAAACTTCTCTCTCTCTCTCTCTCTCTCTCTCCGCTTCTTCTTCTTCTATCTCCAGTTTCTCTATCTTCTAGGCTCTCTCGTTTTGGAAGATCTGAAATTCTGTAGAAAGTCCACGCAGGAGATATGAAAAAACGAGTTCATTATTTTTTTTTATTTTTAATTTGTTTGAGAATAAAAATGAAAATCAAAATGAAAATGATAATATATTGAGGGAAATGTACCCAATGACTTCAGGAATCACGGGGTTGCCACTGCCTTTTCGAATTAGCCAACAAGTCATCGACAGAGTTTTTAAAACAATCATGGGGTTTAGGATATTAATTTCAGAATAATTTTTAAGTGTGTAAGGCTCTGTTTGTTTGTATTCTCAAATCAATTTTCTACGTGTGTTTTGGAGCATGATGTTTGGTTACGTTTTCAAATCAATTTTCTACACTCTCTGCAGAGAACTCTGTGCACACAGGCGTGTTTTCTGTCCAAAGGAAGACCACCCGGTAGACCACCCGGATGTCCACCCGGTAGACCACCCGGATGTCCACCCGGATGTCCGGCTGATTTCCAGCCCGGTAGACCACCCGGATGTCCACCCGGTAGACCACCCGGATGTCCACCCGGTAGACCACCCGGATGTCCACCCGGTAGACCACCCGGATGTCCACCCGGTAGACCACCCGGATGTCCACCCGGTAGACCACCCGGATGTCCACCCGGTAGACCACCCGGATGTCCACCCGGTAGACCACCCGGATGTCCACCCGGTAGACCACCCGGATGTCCACCCGGTAGACCACCCGGATGTCCACCCGGTAGACCACCCGGATGTCCACCCGGTAGACCACCCGGATGTCCACCCGGTAGACCACCCGGATGTCCACCCGGTAGACCACCCGGATGTCCACCCGGTAGACCACCCGGATGTCCACCCGGTAGACCACCCGGATGTCCACCCGGTAGACCACCCGGATGTCCACCCGGTAGACCACCCGGATGTCCACCCGGTAGACCACCCGGATGTCCACCCGGTAGACCACCCGGATGTCCACCCGGTAGACCACCCGGATGTCCACCCGGAGCAGCCCACGGGAAGAGGAGGCCATGTTCTGGTTAGCTGGACGGGAAGAAGAGGCCATGTTTTTGGGTTGCTGTGTGTTTCAGCGAAGGCAGCGATTTCCGACTGGTACTTTCAGAGAAGGATTGGCAACAAAGTGTTACAGAGTATCTCTCTCAGAACACAAAGGGTTTTTCAAAGGATTTTCGCAGGTTTTTTTGTCTCAGACAACGAAGAATTTTTTCAGAGTTTTTTAGCAGGTTTTCTGCCTCAACCTCAGCCTCCGCTTCGGTTTATAAAGACCATGAAGAAGAGGCAGACACGCGCATCATGCGCCGCTCGGCGCTCGACAACACATTGGCACGCTTTTTGATGGCACGCCTTTTTATGGATTGGGCACGCCTTTTGATAGCACGCCTTTTTTGAAAGATTGGGCACACCTTTTGAGGGTGCGACTTTTTAAGGGTCCGACAAGACTCTGTAAACTGTCCCGACATTGATTCCGGTTAGCTCCTTTATGGGTCCGACAAGACTCTGTAAACTGTCCCGACATAGATTCCGGTTAGTTTCTACAAGGGTCCGACAAGACTCTGTAAACTGTCCCGACATTGATTCCGGTTAGTTTTTACAAGGGTCCAGCAAGACTCCGTAAACTGTCACAACAACTGTCACAACATTGTCTGCTACAACGGTCCGACATGACCCCATAAACTGTCTTCTACAACGGTCCGACATGACCCCATAAACTGTCTTCTACATCGGTCTGACACCGCCATCCAGTGTCCTCTACACCATTATGACATCACCATACAGTGTCCTCTACAACGTTATGACACCCCCATACAGTGTCCTCTACAACGTTATGACACCACCATACAGTGTCCTCTACAACGTTATGACACCCCCATACAGTGTCCTCTACGACGTTATGACACCACCATCCAGTGTCTTCACCAACGGTCTGACACGACCATACAGTGTCTCCTATCCTTTTTTATTTTTATGTATTTTCTTGTTGTGCTCCTCTCTTCAAACTCAAGTTGGTTAGTTTCTATCCTCCTTGAGTTTGCGGGGGGCTGTTAGAATTTACCATAAACCTACCGCCACTACCACCTCACCTACTCCACTAAACCTAACCCACTACACCACTACCACCTCCACTTCACCTACTCTCCACCTACTCCCACACACACTCCTATATAATAGGAATCCTTGTAATTGTAATATACAGAATACAAAAACATCAATCAATAATACATCAATTATTTTTACAAGGGGCACTCCTAAGTATTTGACAGGAAGGGAACCAAGTTGAACCTGAAGTAAATTGCAAAGATCTATCTTAGATTGATCATCAATACCAATAATGTAAATCCTGCTTTGGCTCTTTTTTGGCGGGAGGCCAGAAAATTTATTGAATTCAAGAAGAGCATTAAAAACTATTTAAAAGGACTGATCATTAGGATAACAAAGAACAAAGAGGTCATCTGCAAAGCAAATGTGGCTAATGTTCAATTCATGAATCATGACACTTTGGATTAGAGGAAAACATGCCAGAACTGATATGGTTATGAAAGATTATGGAAAAAAAACTCCATAACAAGGATAAATTCAATATATTATGAATTTATTTACAAAGAAGTTAAAGTTTTTATTTTGGTTAGTCAAAAAGTCTCCTTTCTCATTCTTTTTGATAAGAATTAATCTTTAATTTTGCCTCTGTAAAAGAAGGTTGAGGTTTGAAAATTTGTCTGTGAAGATGATGATCTTATCACAAAATCATTTTTAAGCTTTGTGGAATTGTTCCACAAATAAAAAGGTTGTGCAGAGTTGAAGTAGCTGAGGCTAAGACGGACCTCAAAGCCAGGAGGAACATTGAAGAAGTAAAACTCAGCCCCATAAGATGAAAAGAACCTTTCTCAGTTTTATTAAGTCTAGTAGTCATGCCTAGGCTACAAAGAGGAGAAGCCTTGAAAAGCATATTGTCCTTGGTGTCACCAGAGCGGCTATGTATATGCATTTGCAAACAAAATCACATGTTCACCATCGTAATAAATTATGGGATATTATAGGACAACTGATATGAAGTGAAACTGTTGTTGTCTTGTCAGTTGGTGGTTCTGTTGGGTTCAAAAGTTTCCCCTGCAGTGAAATTTGACTGTCAGTGAAATTTTCTTTCAATGTAAAAACCACCCAAACAAGCCAAGTCGGCTATTGAATTTGTGACTTAAACAGTCACGTGACTCACATCACAAATCTCTGCAAATTTCTGTAGAAGACACCTAATCTGTAGATTAGAGAAAATCCTTCATCTGTTTGAACGGATTAATATCTTGGCTCATGACTTGATTTTTTTCAGCTTGACATTTGCATTATCTGTAGTTTCGGTCATATATTTTACATCTATTTTTTATTTCATTTTTTTCCTTCAATGACAATGGGCTCACAAAGGGGGTCACTTGTCCCTGCCTATAAAAGGCCCCAATCTGGGTGAAGGTGGGATTTGATCCTGGATCTGTTGTATGACTACCTAGAAACTTTATTGGTTAGGGTGGCCAGCACTTCCAGTTTAAATTCCTTCTTATGTTCTGTTTGAAGCGTTGGATATTTTATTTGGTGGTGGTGGTGGTGTCAGTTTCTCACTCTTTGCGTTTTCTACTTTTGCGGTTCCTTGACTGGACATGCACTTTTTTGACAGGCGTGTTTTTGTTGGAGATGTTGTGGTTGTGAAGGACCCTGTAAACACCGATAACTATCTCGTCCGAAGATTGGCTGCTATTGAAGGGTATGAAATGGTGTCTACTGATGAAAAAGATGAGCCATTTGTTCTTGAAAAGGATCAGTGCTGGGTGTTGTCCGACAATGAAAATTTGAAGCCCAAGGTATGTCATTGAATATTGTTATACAGGTTTATTAAGTTTATTCATGGTCTGGCTTTACAAGTTTATTAAGTTTATTCATGGTCTGGCTTTACATGTTTATTCATGGTCCGGCTTTTAAGAAAGCAAATTTTTAGCAAACTGAAATTTCATGTTTTCAAGCATGTGTGAAACAGTGGAAGTTTCTTCGTAACGTTTATGTTGCTTATCTTCTATAAAGTTGTCAGCATGATTAAATGTTGAGAGTTAAGAGGATTATATATAGAGCATTTGAAAGAAGGAAAGAAACTGTACATAAATCAAGAGGGGCATACCCATTCAAGGCAATAAAACCAAAGCACTATAAAAGGAACTAGGGGCCTAAACATTGCTCAAAAAAATGAATGAAGGAATAGACCACCTATTACTAGAGAAGACAAAATAATGAACTAATGCTTGAAAAAATAGGTGAAAAAAAGGTTCCCAAGTTCAGAGGTATTGGAGTTTCAGTTTTGTCATTCATTCATGCAAAACACATGGGTTAACCTGCTTTGCTTATGTGTCTTAAGTGCTTTGAAGATGTGGACTGTTGGTTATACCAATCGCATCCAAAACAATGTCTTCATTTCTTTCTTTTTTTGAAAAAAGAAGGGGGAGGGGTTGAGGAGAACAGCGACGGGGGGCTATACATCTATCATGCACCAAGAACCCTGTCATCTAAGCTCTGTAGCACTTCTCTACCAACAAAATGACAAACATCAAGATGATTTGTCACACTTTGGGCCATAATATTATTATTTTTTTGTTTAAATGTATAGCTCTGTAGAGGGCTTATAAATGCAAACCAGTTACTTTCTGTAGTAGTGCTTGGCAATTGACATATGGGTCCATGCTTCACTCATTGACTGCGTGACAGATCTCACCATATTTTTCATTGCCTTCTGTTTTTTCTTGATCTTCTTGTATTAATTGCAGGAAGCCAAAGACAGCCGAATATTTGGCCCCGTACCCATGACAGACATAGTTGGTAGAGTCATATATTGCCTGAGAACGGCTGTAGATCATGGTCCTGTGCAGAACAGGTGAGCTGATCTAATCAACCTGAACTAAATTGTATATAGGGAAAAGATGGTGATATGTAAATATGGTTATTTTTTTTCCAGTCATTTCAGCATGCGAAAGGATTCACCTGTGTTGGAAGTTGAACTAGATGTTGATGAGATGGCAAAACGTGACAAAGCATAGACGGTGCAGACTAAAGGAAAAGCTCCAACTTGGTCTGTATGTACTTTTTAAGCCCATTTTCTCATCAGACCTCTTCTTTGTTTCAAGTACAAAGAAAAAAAAATTTAATAAAGAGTTTGGAATCCTGTCAATGTTCATCTGCTATGGGTCCGGTTTTCTTTGATCAGTTATGGTGGCTTGTTTGTTGGATTTCTTTTGCCTCCCTCATCCCCCTGGCCCTCCTCTTTTTCTCCTCTTCTAACCAAAGAATATAATGCAGCCTTGTATTGAATTTTGAGTATTATCTGTATTTAATACTGTTTTTTCACATGATATTTTCATTTTAGCCTGAAAACTGGCATTAGACAGCCTCAAATGGCCACTGACTTCACAGATGTTTATATTGGGATCTAGGCTTCCCCTTTCTGCTAGATTGAACTTTGATTGGGTTTCAGCAACCCAAGCATAGTATTTTACTTCAATTGGGTTTCAGCAACCCAAGCATAGATGTTTCTCCCCTTTTTTTCCATTCCCCATTGGTATTACCTGATAACACTGTTGATGTTCACAGCATGGAGGCAACGTTTCCTTCCGTGTAGATTATGCGAGTGCTTTGAATCCCAAAATACGCACCTCTACTTACAGGGTTGTTTTTGTAACTTTTTACGACTTATAGGACTAATTGGATAATTAGAAATTAATTTGAACTAATTAGAACGTAAGTGGTAGAAATATGATTTATGAAAAATACCCCATATTTTTATCATGAATTTGGTAGTTATTTGGAAAAGGAAAAGAAAATGTAAGTAAAATATAAATGAAATACAAGTTGTTATGATTATTATTATTTTTGTTTTCTATTTCTCTAGCCTTGTCTCTTTAAATTTTTTTATCGAAATCCATAATACAAACACAATCTTTATGTTGTGGACACATGAACTCCTTTAGATCTTGCTGGGAATTTGCAACCAATGACCAAGATTCATTCGTTGTGTGGTCATATAACAAGAAGTTTGAATATACACCATTAATCTACAATTATGAGTAATTTTTTGGACAGTTTTATGACTTGCTAGACTTTCTCTGTCACGGGGGTTGCCTTTTGTGAGTTGTATATATATATATTAGTTGAAGCATCTAATGAAATGAAACCCCTGAAGTGTTTCAGAGATTTAGGTCATGTTTGTTTGGGTGGACATGAGCTTGGGATTGGACTAATAGTCCAATAAAATTATTAATCCGATGTTTGGTTAAACAATTGAAGTACGGACTAATTATTTTAAACTTGACTATTAGTTAAGATATGATACATAATCCAACGGATTCGTAGTCCTAGGACTATTAGTCATGGGAATGCTAATCCAGTCCGTCCAAACAAACATGGCCTTATGGTGTTGGTGTTGGTGTTGGTGTTGGTGATCCCAACACAAATCTAAATTTTCCAGAGATGCCCTCATAAATGACAAAACTAAAGGTGGTGGCATTTTTTCACATTGACGTCCTTGTTGAATCAACAAGAGCTTGTGATTGCTCTCTTCTAATTTATCTGATCAACTTTTCTTGTGTTTCTTTCAAGGGAAATTTTATGATACCCATATGCTCCACTTACAACGTTTGTGGTATTTAGTTATGATTTATTATAGTGTTAGTTATGATTCATCGTGATATTGATTATTATTTTAGTTATGATCTAAAAAATCTTTGGTCGTACCTTATGTAGTATTTGATTATGACTTTTTTTTTTTTTTTAATTATAATTGAAAGAGATCTACTTATGACATTTGTGGTAATCAACACCACAAATGTTACAACTTGCACAGCATGACCCTTCTTTTAAATTTGGAATATTTATATTGAGATATATATATATATATATATATATATTTTTGGTGATTTGAAAAAAAAATGTGTAATTTAGCAATTTTAGGATAAGTACACCGATATCTTTTGGGTAAATTACAAATATATCTCATGAAATTTGTTTAAAATCCGAGTTATTCTTTGTGGTTTGGAAAATTATAAATACTTTCATGTCATAATTTTTTATTTGACTGAATTAATTAAAAAAGTGAAATTTCTAATTGTTCACCTATACAATAAGGGTCTGTTTGGTAACGTTTACGTTTTCAGTTTATATTTACAAAAAATTTATAAATTGGTTTTTGTTTATTTTTAGAAAAACATAAACTACAAACGCGTTTGGTAATTGACAAAATGTTTAAAAAAATTTAAAAATACAAAAAAAAAAGTGAGAAATAACAAGTGGTGGCAAGTGGCAGCGGAAGATGGTGGTGGAAAGTGGTGACGGTGGGTAGGTGGGTGGGTGACGGTGGCGGGTGGTGGGTGGTAGCGAGTGGGTGGTGGTGGCGGATGGTGGGTGGTGGTGACAGGTGGGTGGCGGATGGCGGGTGATGGTGGGTGGTGGTGACGGGTGGTGGTGGATGGGTGGGTGACGGTGGCGGGTGGTAGCGAGTGGGTGGTGGTGGTGATTGGTGGGTGGTGGTAGCAGGTGGGTAGCAGGTGACTGGTGGCTGGTGGTGGATGGTGGTGGCCGGTAGTGGTAGATGGGTGGTGAGTGGTGGTGGGGGGTGGTAGCGGAAGACGGTGGTGGAAAATAGTGGCGGGTGGTGGCTAATGTTGGGTGGTAACAAAAAAAAACTCAAAACTCAAAAAGGAAACACATTTTTTGAGTTTACATTTTTTGGTCAAATTTATAAATTGAGACCACTTATTTATAAATCAAAAATTTACCAAATAAGTTTTTATTTAAATTTTTTAAATTTTTGTAAATATAAACAAAAAAACTGAAAACGTAAGTGTTACCAAACGACACCTAATAAAGTTATCTGAATTATTAATTGAAATAAAATTTTAACATTATTAAAAAATGTTAATTAACTTGACAATTTATTAATAAAATGATCTATTTGTTATGAAATTAAAAACTTTAGGGGGCATAATTAATTTTTAATTTGTAATTTAAGTAAATCTCAAGGGATGCGTTTGTAATTTATCCATATCTTTTTAGTAAGGTTAAAAGGACTGAAACTAATGCAAATAGTAGTACAAAGACTAGAATAAATAAAGAAAAGTAAACATTTTACTGTAAAAGAGATGATATTGTTTCATCCATATGAATAATGAATTTGAGGATTACTGTTATATGAATTAATAGAATGTAATGAATCTATTGTCATTATATCAAAATTATAAAATTTATTGTATTTTCTCTAAACTTTAAAAAAGCTTAATTCACCTTTTAAATTTTATGTTGCATAACCTTTTTTTTTTTTTCTTAGGAGGGAAACAGAAAAACCTTTTTATTTGAAATTTCTGTAAATTATTATTATGTTTTAAACTTTTTACTTCACAGGAAGATCAATTGTAACCGATTTTATGTCATATCGACAAATAATAATGATTTATTTGTTGTAACTTTTTATTATATAGTCCTGAAATAGAGAAATTATTTAATAGGTTGGCTTATTAAATCAGTTAGAGAAGGTGTGGACATAAATATCCTGTTTGGTAGGACTCATTTTAGCTTTTAACTTAATTTAAGCTATTTTGATAGGTTGGGTTCAACTTAACAATACAGATTATAGTTTTTTGTAAGTCAAAAATCAACTTATTCTTTAAGTGGGGGAGGAGAAGCTTAATTTATAAGTCAAAAATCAGCTTATGTTCACAGTTATAAATTATAAACTGTTAAGTTATAAGATATAATTACTTTCCTACAGCTCTACCAAACGGGGCCAAAAAGCCCGCCCAAATGTTGATGCTTCTCTTAGGCTCCCTCTCCCTATATATGTTTCTTTTTTTAATAAAATAAAAAGAAAAGTAAAATTAATTAAGATAAATTATGGTAAATTCTTTTAAATATTCATAATATTTACCATTTATCTGAAATTATTTTCTAAAAACTATGCTGAATTGTAATTTATGTAATTTCCCCTTTTAAAAAGTGGGGCAATGTTACATTTTAAAATCAATGTTGATGCTTCTCTTAGGCTCTCTCTTCATATATGTTTCTTTTTTTAAATAAAATATAAAGAAAAGTAAAATTAATTAACAAGGAATTGTGTTAATTAATTCTTCATTATCATAATCTTTTTCTTCTTTCTCTTCATCGTCGTTGTTACTTTGTAAGCCTAAGATCGACAGGTACACCAGTACTACGCACCCACTTTAATGGGTCTTTACCAGCTTCGAGGTGAATGGAAGCAGTGGATCGAAGAGCTTCGTTTTTCTCAGTGATGACACGAAATTATTCCATTTGACCCTTTTGTTGGTGTTGGCACCAGTTCCCCAATTTCCATACTCAGCAACAATAGCAGTTTTGTGGTTATTTTTCCCTTCCCAAATCATCCAGCCTTCTGGTTGAATCAAATCACCAATCTCACTTTCCATGATAGTTGTTGTTGAGTAACGTTTCCAAGGGCGACCGAGAAAGGAACGTACCTTGAACCTATTGGGGAAGAGTTGTCGTTCTGGGACAATCTTGCATTTTTGGAGAACCAACCCGGCAATGGCATTCCTTTCAAAATTGCCGTCTGCAGTTATTATATTCTGTTGATTAGGATCTGGCATCCTCAATACTATGACACTATCTTGGATCAAGGCAGTGCCTACACCAAATATGAAGTCTACAGTGCCAGTAATGACACAGTTGCGGTAGAATTGACGATTACTAATGTAGTATAGCGTGTCTTGGTACCCTTCAAACCTACAGTTGAAGTGCGCTGACATATCAGAACTGTTTAGGTATGCCACAGCCTGATGCCCCTTGGGTTCGGATCCTCGGTCGCCCTTCACGGCGGCCCTTTCCTGTAGCCCCCAAAACGACGTCGTTTTGGGGACAAATTTTCAAAAAAAAAAAACGCAGAAGAGGGAGGAAGGAGAGGAAGAGGGAATATTCATAATATTTACCATTTATTTGAAATTATTTTCTAAAAACTATGTTGAATTGTAATTTCTGTAATTTCCCCTTTTAAAAAGTGGGGCAATGTTACATTTTAAAATCAATGTTGATGCTTCTCTTAGGCTCTCTCTTCATTTATGTTTCTTTTTTTAAATAAAATATAAAGAAAAGTAATATTAATTAACAAGGAATTGTGTTAATTAATTCTTCATTATCATAATCTTTTTCTTTTTTCTCTTCATCGTCGTTGTTACTTTGTAAGCCTAAGATCGACAGGTACACCAGTACTATGCACCCACTTTAATGGGTCTTTACCAGCTTCGAGGTGAATGGAAGCAGTGTATCGAAGAGCTTCGTTTCTCTCAGTGATGACACGAAATTTATTCCATTTGACCCTTTTGTTGGTGTTGGCACCAATAGCAGTTTTGTGGTTATTTTTCCCTTCCCAAATCATCCAGCCTTCTGGTTGAATCAAATCACCAATCTCACTTTCCATGATAGCTGTTGTTGCAACGTTTCCAAGGGCAACCGAGAAAGGAACGTACCTTGAACCTATTGGGGAAGAGTTGTCGTTCTGGGACAATCTTGCATTTTTGGTGAACCAACCCGGCAATGGCATTCCTTTCAAAATTGCCGTCTGCAGTTATTATATTCTGTTGATTAGGATCTGGCATCCTCAATACTATGACACTATCTTGGATCAAGGCAGTGCCTATACCAAATATGAAGTCTACAGTGCCAGTAATGACACAGTTGCGGTAGAATTGACGATTGCTAATGTAGTATAGCGTGTCTTGGTACCCTTCAAACCTATAGTTGAAGTGCGCTGACATATCAGAACTGCTTAGGTATGCCACAGCCTGATGCCCCTTGGGACCAGCAGTGTTGTGAAATCCCATTCCCTCGATGATGAACCTGTTTCCACTAGCCGCTGTAGACATGGCAAATTAATACATACATCAACATTAGTTGTTTTATTGCTCAATCAAACCAAGAATAAAATTTTCAACAACAATTAATGCTTGAGTTCTTATTTCATTAGGCCATGGCCTTATATAGTTTGTTTGTTCTATGATTCACAGAATTAAGTATTCTATTTTAGTGCTTTCACTTTATAGATATGACTTGTAATAATAATTTAAAAATTGCCCTCTCAGCTCATCAGCCTGGATGAAGGAACCTATTAGACGTGATACAAAACGGATCTTGTTCTATCCTTGATAAGAGATTATTTTATGAAAAATACAATTCAGAGTTTGAAGAAGGGGAAAGGGTGGGAGAAGGTGCCTTTGCCCCAACTACAGATATGAGCCATGGCACATGGTTTTATAAAATCGTAAAAATTTTCCAATCTAAATCAATGCTATTATGGCCATATTTTCTCACCATGATTATTTATGTGTATTGTTAACGTGTGTCATTGGAGTACATGTTATACATTTTTTATTGCATGCACTTTCAAACAAAATATACCATCTTCTTAAACTTCCTAATATTAAGGACACACATTAACACAATTCATTATTTATTATCTCACAAGTCAATACTACATTGATAACTAATTAAACCCCAAATTAAGTGTGGATCTAAGCATTGGGGTCGCCCCTTTAAGGCGACCAGGAATGACTGAAGGAGCATGGGCTAAAGCCTAATGGAAATGGGCCAACGGTGGGTCGAAGCAGGTTTGACCCGCCAAGGGTCCAAATGGACTCCATGAAGGAAAATGCCTAAGTCAAGTTACAGAGGCAACACATGCAGCGGGAAAGTTGTTGAGGCACTTTGCCTCAGCGCCGCCATTCCTAATGTCTTCAGTTTCACAGCCATCCGAAGTTGCTAATGGAAAGAAAAAGCCAACACAACTAAGTCGCAGAGGCAAGACTTGCGACTGCCAAATTGCAGAGGCACTTTGTCCCAGCGTCGCCATTTCAAGTAACGTTGATGCCACAGCCATTCCAAGTAATGTTAGTACCACAACCATCTGGAGTTGTTGAGGAAAGGAGAAAACTGAAGCAACTAAGTTGCAGAGACAGTACTTGTGGCACCCAAGTCGTGGAGGCATTTTGTTGGCGCCGCCATCTTTAATATTGTTGGTCTTGTCATTTGAACTTGCTACAGGAAATGATTGCACAACAATTATAGCCGCCACAACCAACTTGCGGAGGGAACATTCCACCAAGGTAATAGCAGCCTTCGGGAAAAGCTTCCCCTCTGCAAGTAGAAGCTAATGCTTGGCATTGATAGCAGGCCCCAAGGCATTACTAGCCTAGGGTTGATAGCAAGCCCCAAAGATTCATTTAACTTGGCGTTGATAGCAGGCCCCAAGACTTACTTGTTGGAGCTGATAGCAGGCCTAGAGATACCAGTTTACCACGACGATCCTGCGAAGATGGGAGCAGAGTAGCTCGAGCATAAGGGACTCCCTTTCCATTAACCAGGTCATGAACCTGCCTTAGTCGCGTAGGCAGGACTAAGGAAGCCCCTTTGGGCTTGGTACTAAGGCACGGCATGGCTGATAGCAAGCTTGGTTGTGGCATTCGCCGTGAAAAGCTGTAGAGTTTGTGGTTAGGTGGCTAAGGGTGGAGGCTTCGCTGAAGTGAGCATGAACATAGTCAATAGCAGACTAATAGAGTCCTGAAAATGTATGTACTGGCCAAGTAGAACTGAGAAGGCAAGTGCAACAGCAAGGTTTACCGCTGCAAGTGCACTTGTTGAGGTTTTGGTTGAGAAGGTAAGTGTAAAGGCAAACACTCCCGCTGCAACTGCACTTGCTAAGGCTCAAAAGGGAGTTGCAACGCCAAACACTCCCCATCGCAACTCACTTGCTGAGGCTCAAAAAGGTAGTTGCGGAGGCAAACAGATAATACACAGTACATGCAGAGGGACACGTGGCACTTTCAGCCTGGTGGCTCAAGGCAAAATATTCCATGTGATCTTCTGGGACACATGTCTTCTCTCTATTTGGCCACTTGGTATCCTCTTGGCACTAAGGAAAAACCTATAAATATGACCCATTTTCCAATGTTCAATAGAGGAATTTTAGGGATTTGGGGAGATGCTGCTCATTTTGGTACTGCCATACATTTCTTCTTGAGCCACTTGTTTCACTCTCACCTAGCTACACACTCTCCAACTCCCAGATAGTTACTGTTACTCATTCTCCAGCCACTTTCACCATTGTTGGACCATTAACATAGTTTTATCTCTCAATCATCTTCCTAACCTTAAAACCCCCTACAATAACTAACACTAGTGATGAAACTTATGAAACTAAGATTAGTGTGTCTGTGTATACATATAATAATATGGATGGATGAACTTATTGAAGGTGGTTGTGCCCTTAGTTGTGATGTTATTGGCATAAATTTTGGATGTAGTAACAATAGTCCTCTTCGGCCCATCTCCATACATAAATATGTCCATTTGATATTTTGGTATAATGACAACCTCTTTATAGACCCCGACCTTGACATTGATGATCCATCTACCTTGGCGCTTTTTTGGGATTGCTGCAACAACACTAGAAATTGTCTTGTACTGCCCGCTCCCGTCTTTAGCAACAATCGCATTAGGTGTTGTTTCCTTTCCCTTGTCTCCATTGTGTAAATTGAGAAGCTTGCGATCCCCATCATGAAACCAAGTGGGATACCTATCGTGCCCAACCTTAGTTACTTCAAGAAGTCGACGCGTGCCAGAGCTAGAGCCAGAGTTGAAGCTAGAATAGGCCTTATTGATATCCTCAATTTGGATGTTGAAGGCTTGAAGAATGTCGCAAATACTGGCAACGATATTGATGGCATTGCTAATGAGCTGAGTTGTGTTGCCTAAACCATTTTCTATTGGAGTCTTATATTCGGGCATTTCAAGTTGGTCAAGGCAGGTTTGTTGGTACAAGACCACAACAGTGAACCAGTTCAAAATTTCAAACACACGATCTTTGATAGTGTATAAGTCGCTATGACTTACCATTGAGAATGAGTCTTGAAGGTCGTCATTGGCATATTGCAATAATTCTTTGCAATCCTCAACTGCCATGTGTTGTCGAGGGTCCTTGGAAGCATCTACTTTGACAGACTCTACAACTTTCAATGATTTCACAGCTTCTTCAATGGTGGCCTGAATAGCGGCCACGATGTAGTCCTTTAAGGTAGCACTTTCATTCTTGGCGACATTGTTGAGGCTATTCATGCAAGCGTCCTTGAAATCAGTAGGTGCGCAAATGCTAGTGACAGCCTTGATGGAGACAGACGCATTAACGCCATTATTGGAACTTCCATTGCGATTCACTACAGCAACACCAATGACGATGCCAACTACAAGCATGATAGATGCTAATGAGGCAACTGCTTTGCTTACCATGTTGTTTTCTTTCTTTTACTATCAACTATGGATAAATAACTAAATACTCTCCACCTACTTCACCCACTTAAACCTACTCCACTAAACCTAACCCACTACACCACTACCACCTCACCTACTCCACTAAACCTAACCCACTACACCACTACCGCCTCCACTTCACCTACTCCTTACCTACTTCACCTACTCCACTAAACCTAACCCACTACACCATTACCACCTCCACTTCACCTACTCCTTACCTACTACACACTCACCCTCTTCTATATATAGGAATCATGAATCATTGTAATATATCAATAAAAAAAAAATATCAATCAATAATAATACATACAATTTATTCTCTCTCTTTCTCTATACATTATTTCTTACAAAAATCTAATAGAGGCAAAGAGTTTTGCGGACTAACGAATATGAGATGAATTACATAGATTATCTAAGGCTTGGATATGACCTAAATATAGTTTGGAAAATGCATAAGACTCCAGTGGGGTTGACTCCTACCACCCCCACTGATTTTTGATTAGTCCATAGTTGCTTTTTTTTTTTTTTTTTTTTTTTTTT